CCTAAATGTTACACACTGGACCGGGAATATATTCAAATTTGAGTACTCTTAGGCCAATAAATGATATAAGTATTCAAAAGGATTTCTAGAGCCTTTCTTCTTCTTATTAAAATGGTAAGAGGGGGTGGGGCTTTCTTTGAGGAACTTCAAAGACACTATGGGTCATTGAACCAAACTCCATCGAATATTCTGATAATTACTAATGCTAAATGTATGGAGATATATACACATATTACCCAGTACACTTTAACCAAAGACATTATACAAACTGGTACACTCGGTCTTAGTCACAAACAATATGCAGCACCTGACTGAGCTGAATGTAACTAACATTGTACCGAGCTTACTAACGATACATACATTAGCTAGCTAACGTGCTCTTACTTTAAAGGGTTTTTTACGTGTTCAGCCTGTCTGTGGTAAAGTATTCAAACTTAGGGGGGAGATAACATTGAAATCAGCATCCATATGAGGGCACTGTGCAGAGAAATATATGAAATGTATGAAATATAACAACATTTCGCTGTACAACCAGGCTGTGCTGGCTAGCTAGAAAGCTAACATTAGCATCGCTTTGTTCGCCCCGTTTGCTTTGTATTTCAGAGGACTAGCGACTGTACTCTGGTGGTGAGGGCTTACTGTTGTTGAATGCGCAGCCTGAGTATGTTCAGTTCATGGTGGGAAGGTTTACCTGGTCGATAAATCTGTAGCGATGTGTCAAGGAAACCAAAGCTCCTGCTGTTGTTTGTGCCGATTTCCGGGTTGATACGTAACGTCGGTACGTAACTTCCTTTATCTCCCACGTGGGTTTGTTGTGATTTGTTTTTCCCTCTAAAACTTAAATCCGTTCATGTGAGATCTCAGTTGGCTATTCTGACTCTTTCTGAGGTGGATTCACTTTGTGCACATCATTGACTGTCTCCATCTTCATGTGATGATGGTCATCGCTCTAATACTGAACTGGTTTTCCCTTTTCATTCAACTCAAGCAAATAATTGGAACGAGATGCTCATTAAAACATTTTATTTATTTTTATTTTATTTGCGTGACTGATTAAAGGGTGCGCCGATCACATTCCCTTACACGTTATACAATCATTGATACATTAGAGATAAAAATACAAAAATGTATAGCCTTCCAATACATTCCAAAAATCACTGGAACTCTTTTGGTGTCCTGATATTTCACAAACATGCACAGCAAAACTATTTTACCTCAAATATATACAAACGCTAGGCACATAAAAATGTCTTTATAAAATAGAAATAACTTGATATACACAAAAAATCACATTTTGGGATACAAATATAGCTTCAGTGTCTTACATCCACATTACAATGGAACACAAATAATTAGCTTACACATGTAAATGTCATCAAATATCTGTTCAGTTCAGAGTCCTGTGTCACAGAAGAAAAACATGTTGGTTGCAGTGTTTTAATTAGTAATGCCTATCCAGTAAAACATACTGTTTGTCCCAAAGTTGAACAAGGTAACTTTGTGAGTATTTTACAACTTCTTAATGGGAGCAGTTTAGTTTACACTACGCAGGAGAAACAGGTATCTCCTTATACTTCACTGAGAAGCACCAATCATGTGTCGGAATATCTAGAGAACCAAAAACATGACATGAGATATGTTCATACGAACCTAGACATCGTTGAAAATCTGCAGCAAGCAAAATTAACTTATTTGCTTCAATGCCATTAGCTCTGTAGACCAAATTTGGCATCCAGTGCCTTACATTCTGAGAAAGATGCTTCTTTCACTGACTCTTAACCTGAATGCGATCCATACAGTGATAGAGTCAACTTATACCACACATTGAGCCACACATTGTACATGTCACACATTATTCACTCGCTCGCATTGTGGCTCTCAGGCGGCAGCGTTTGCTCTTCATAGTGAGACCGTACTCTGGGGTCATGTCCAGTGGCTCTCCAGGCAGCGTCTTGAAGTGCAGCTTCTGGATAATGATTGCCAAGAAGAGGAAGACTTCATTTCGTGCAATGACCTCGCCAATGCAGCGGCGCTTTCCCATGCCAAAAACCATCACCTTCTCCCCCTCTATCTTGTTGAGCTCAGTGCCATCAGCACTCAGGAAGCGATCTGGGTTGAAGGAAGATGGATCTTTCCACAGCTCACTGAAAAGTGCAGAAAATGAATACATAAGATAAGCTGCACACATAACCATGTCAATAAAAAGCCAGGTCTGTAATCAACTATAGGTTTAATCTCCTCATTGAGGCAGGACAAACTGGGCGAGGGAAGTGAATGAGGATGGCTATTGTCTTCCTTCACAACTACCAATGGGGTGGCATTCTTCTGCTTTAACAGAGCTCTCTCTACTGGCTGTACTGGGCAACTCTGAAGTGCGAGTGTTGTCATCTTCAACCATTTTAGAAACAACAGAAAGAACTTACGGGTCATGGTTGATCTGCCATTGATTGATGAAGACACAGGTGTCTTTGGGAATGAAGTAGCCATTCAGAGATGTGTCTTTTGACGTGCTGAAAAGGAAGGACAAAGTGTTAGTCCACTGTGTATTTACAGGTTTAGATCACATGCATTATTATGCTTGTGATAGCACATGTGATGCTATAATGCGACTTTAAAACTTACCAGTGAGGGATAGTGAAGGGCAGGAAAGATGAGTGGCGAAGGATCTCCAGGATGAAGGCCTCCAGGAACGGTAAGTTGGTTCTGTCACAGAGAAGAGGAGTGCGGTCCAGACCCACTTTTTCCTCTGGAAATAAAAATAGATTATTGACTATTAGTTCAAGGTGAGGAGGGGGTTGCAGTGAATAGACCTAGCTCACATTTTTACTTGATTAAAGAATCATTATTGACCATTTAACTTTGAGAGCAGCAAAACATGCATTTCTGCATTACATTTTACCACTGAACAACTTATCCACTTATCAGACTTTTACTGTCCCATGAGATACATGTATATGCAAGAAAATATTTTGTGTAAAATAGCTCTACTTACTCAGTTCTTCATAAAGCCTTTCCTGTATCTCTGGGTAAGCCACCAAGTACATGACTGACCAAGACAGGGCAGTGGAGATGGTATCAAAGCCTGGTAGACAAAGATAACCTCTGTGAGGACAGGTTTTTTTTCTTTATTTAGGGACATGTTACTTCAGACCAGATCATTAAACCTACCAGCTCCAAACAGGTCATTGACAATTCCTACAATCTTCTCATCTGACATCTGGACATTGGAGTTCTCGTCCAGCTTCCTGTCCTCACAGTGATCAATGAGGGAGTCTGTGATGTCACGAATGTTGTCCTGAAAGAAGATGATTAGACAATCTCAATAAATGACTAAAAAAACAGTGTCTGATTTCCTAATAATGTAGAAGAAGAATGTACTAAATAAGCTTTCATGATTAAGTGTGTGCTGTACCTTATCATAGGTGGCGTAATGCTCGCTGACAATCTTTTGCACAAACTTGTTGAAACGGGCATTGATGTCCATGAAGTTCTTCATTGTTGTGCTGGGCAGGAATTGAAGAACAGGGATGAAGTCTGCAGGGTTACCGCTGCCCACCACCTGGCCGAATTCATCACTGAGGTTCACCAAGCTGAGTAGCTCCTGGTCATTGTGGTCGTAGCGTCGGCCAAAGCACATTCCACAGATCACATTAGCAACAGAGACAACAATGTGGCGGAAGGGGTCAAAGCTGCCGTCAGCTTTCATGACAGTGTTGAGCTGTTTGATCAGATACTCTCCCTCCTTGCAGATGTGTTCCTCCAGCACACAGGAGTACTCTGGGGTTGTGCCGCCCAGGCTGGAGAAGGAACGCAGGGCACTGTAGGCCAGCTTCCTGCGGGCACGCCAGATACCAGCCTGGTCGGTACTGAAGGCCAGACTCTTTCCATCGTTGATGAACCTGAAGCTGTACAGGTCAGGTCTGCCAGCAAACTCGTCCCCTTGCTTGATGAGAGCCTGTCGGACTGTTTCACTGCCACTTAGTACAACCACGGGACGCATACCAATCTGAATCTGGAAGACGTCGCCGTAGCGCTTGCTCATGGCAGTGAGGCTCAGGTAAGGTTTGTTGCCCACCTCCAGCACATTCCCAATGAGAGGCAGGGGCTTTGGTCCAGGCAGCCGATGTAGCCCCTCAGGAATCTCAGTGTGAAAAAACTTGAGGATTAGGTAGACCAGACACACTGTTGTCAAGGCCACCAAACTCTCAGATGCCGACACTGATCCAATGAATGGCAGTATCATTAGCACCATGATGCCAACTCCTTTTTTTATGGCTTCTGCACAACCTGGAAATTAAATAGGAGGAGCATTAGAGTAGTGAGGGAGGAAGAGAAGTGTTGTGCAACATGTTGACTACATGCACCATAAAGCTGAAAGTAACTAAAAACTGTCACACGGCATGTGTTAGTTATTAATTGGACTGTAATTTCACATGCCGCACAAAGACTCTCAGTACAAGTGATAAGTTATGTAAAGTAATGGACTATGTAAAGTTTACAACCACCAAACTATGACTCATAGAAATCCCATGAATAAATAAATAAATAAAGAATGTGCATATTAAATGTTGCAAATGACAAATTCATACTTATTAACAGTAAGTTAATACAGTAAATATGAATACTGTGCTTGCAAAATAATCTCCACTCAGCACTTTGCTCTCTACTCTGACATTGCCTGCTCAGTTAGAAATCAATCTGTCGTCATGTGCATATATTAAGCTTACCTTGGTCAAATGGTAAAAGAGGAACAATGCTGTGGTTCCACAAATACTTTTCGGAAAAGTAAAAAAATATCCTATAGTAGAGTTATTGACCGAGTTTACTCTCTTGATGTCCCTAAAACAGAGAATGGGCTCTTGCTTTATAGTGCGCTCTACCGTTTCATTGGCTGCTGTTCATGACGTAATCTCTCTCTCTCTCTCTCTGTCTGTCTGTCTCTCTCTCATGAATGAAGTTTAGCACAGAGGAAAGGTGTGTGTGTGTGTGGTGTTTTTGTGCGTGCGAGGAAACACTTTGAGACTTCATGTCAGTGAAGAAGTTGGTTGTATATTTCACAGTTGTTGAAACAAATGTTTTAGTTGTTCAGGACTTTACAGCCAAAATTGATAGTTTATGGACAGATAAGACACAATTGCAATCACAGGCAAGTATAATTTCAAGCACTATAAAAAACCGTGATAACAGGGTTTAATGTAATACATGTCTCCTACTGTTCTGCAGGTTGTTTTAAAGGGATTTGCAATTGCAATGGTGATTTACCCCCCATATTTGAGCTATATTATATAATATTACTATTTATTTTAAATGCGTCGTCTAAATAAAATATCCGCGCTTTGACCTGATCTGTGTCTGTGTTGTGCTTGCTGACGCAGACACCAATTTAATTGAACCTTCAGATTATAGAAGCAAATCCAATTATACCATCTAGGCTGCCTATTATTGTGTCAAAGCTTTATTGATCACCCTGTTGATAACTGCAGAGGAGTTGATAACTGCAGACGAGTTTTCATTAAGGCGATGGCATGTTGTTGCGTCTCAGATAATCCTTTGATGAGATGATATTGTGATTTCAAATGAACTTCTTAGGAACATGATGTGGAAATGTATTGGCGAAGATTGAGAAAAATGTTTTGTCTCTGGCGTGAAAAAATAGCCCTATGTTAAAGGCAATCATCAATAAACACCAGGATATCTTTTCTCTTCTAGAAATATTGAATATTGACCTGACAAAGGACAACAGCACGTTCACACGCAACAGTGGCATAGTTTCTCTTAATGTTGGCTTTCTGCATTCTGAAGTCAATCCTGTTTGCCTCCAGTAATAAAATCAAGGTCTGGGGTGAGAATAGGAGTTTGTGACAGCAGCCACCCAGTGAGTCCTGATAAAACAGTCAAATGCCATTTCGTGCTTGTACCTGTCAGTTCCCCGCTGGAGTTAAACATTGACCAGTTGCGTGAGAGCGCAGTGATCAAACCCTCACCTCCCCTTTGCAGAGGATGCTGGGGAGGGAGGGAGGGAATGAGAGGGAGATCGTGCAGCCCTGCTTGAGGTGCAAGGGTAGATGAGTTCAATAATATTCCTCTTTGTCCCCTTTTCAACCTTGTACACTAAAGTAGGCATTGTCAGCGCAGCTCCGCTTCACATCCATCTTTTCTTCCATTTGGTGCTTAAAAGCCAAAATTTGGATCAGCAGTGTTATTCATTTTTTGAAAACGTTCAGACTGTTACATATTACACCGGGATGTGCGTGTGGCCTCTCAGCCTGTCGTGACTTGTGCAACAGGTGTTACACAAATCTGTGAACTTTGAAAGTCTGTGACGGTCAGCGATGGAGAATGCACTAAAGTAGCCAGAAGGATTCTGCTATTAAAACGTGACTGTGTAAATAATATAGGATTATGGTGAAAGTATGAGCCTAAATATGATGAATAGAATAATTAATAATAATTAGACTTGCTTCTCTTATCTGCTCTGTATAACAGCTTTTACACAAACTAACCAGATGGTTAACTCATTTATTTACATACATGGCCAAAGATTCATTTTATTATTATTCTATACTATCAAAACAAACAACTTCATATGGATGAATTTATTTTTGCGTTGACTTAAAATGTTTCCTTATGTATAGGGTCTTTGTTAGTGGAATGATTGAATTTTCTTCAAATGTGATTTGCTTCAGGTTAAGTGTGGTATATGCTGCATTTTCCTGTGCGCAGTGATCAGTCATCCTAAGTTAGGTCATCAAGAAGCTCGTTTGCTCGAATAATTTGTTCACTTTATGTCATCTGTAACTTTAAGGGTCTGAACTTGTTTTACTGAACTTCTATAGGCCTAAAATTTGGTACTAAACTATTTTATTCAGTCAGTATGGATTCTGAGATTTGGGTCCGACTGCAACCATGTGACAATGGATGGATGAAGGACTAGTAAAATGTATAAAGGGAATCGTCTGTAACCTAGGACTGCTATAGGAAAAACATACATATTTCTACTTCAGCCCTCTTATTTTATTTAAAATACAAAATAATAGGATCATGTAAAGGTCGATTCAAATTGTGATTTATTCTGTTGAAAAAATAAATGACCATTCTGCCATTTCCTGAAATTGGACAGATTTGACAAAAAAGAAATACTTAAAAAAATATAATTTCTTACATATTATATATAAACATTGTGGCCTATATGTTCACCATAGCCTTGGAGTGTGTCTATATGTCTTTGCTTATTGAGGGGGAATTATTTCTTAGTTCTTGTTGTTTTAAAGATCGAGTTATAACAGCAAGGTATGTATGAAAACCGTACATGCATGTATGATGGTCTTTTGTTGTTTTTGCCAAATAGCCATTTAGGATGTTTTTTTTAAAAAAAGGCTATTATTTATATTGTTAGGTTTATACAACTCACGCTTTAAGTTGTTTGTGTTTAGAACTGCATATATTTCAGGCGGCAAAAGCATCTTATACCACACAAACACTACAACCTAAAAGTATAGCTATAAGAGGCTGTGAATGGAGGAAAAAGTCCGGCAGGTAAAAGTTTTCAAGTTGCTCATTTATTCTGCGAAATCCGCGCGGCTCAGCGCTGTCCTGATCCTCCCGGACTGTGTGTGGACTCTCCGGGGACTCTCGCCGTGCGCCTGGGGGCTGCGCATTTGGTGCTGCAGGTTGCGTGAGAAGCGGAGCTGCCGTCCAGAGGGGAGGGTCTCGGTCTTCTGGACAATCCTAAATCTGCTTGGTCAAGTCACGCGAAGGCAGCAGCCTCTGGAAAAGACACAAGGGTCTTAAACTTGCAGAACAAAGAGCGCAGGACGCGAGACTCTCTTTTTTTCCCCTGCTTGGGCACGAAGGTGCACATATTTGCGCGCTATAGCTTCTGTAAATGCGAGGATCTTAGGGCTTTGGAGTCATGCAATCTGCCAGTCAGGCTCCATTCATTGCAGTCATGCAACACGGTGGGACTGAGCAGCCACACAGGCGAGAAGCCACCAAACGGCTAAACAAGTTTTAAAAAACTGGAGCTTAGCTATGAAACAACGTGAACTAGTCACCCTTTCTCACACGCAGAGGGTCCCAACGTGGAGCCTGGGATTGTTGAAGAGGGTGCAGGGAGTCTTTCAGCAAAATGAAGAATGAATTCATCGTTAACTTGAAGTCAGGACAAGGAGAAAACTTAATAAGGACGCATAAATGGTTTCACTTTTCGTGCTGATTTATACACAAAAGTTATACATTTAAATTATAAAAATATGTAATAATAATAATAATATATTGATACTTTAGAGAATTTAGTATGAGAATTCCATAATGAGAGAGAAGAATTTTAAAACAATAGGCTATGTTTAAAATCAGACAGGAATACACAATAATACACTATTTATAGCTCATTCAAAAAACAACTTGTCATATTACCGCTGCAACAATAGGCCACACTGTACCTGGACAAGTAAGAATGAAGCACTGTTGGTGTGGTTTTGGTGGACACAGTGCTTGTTATATACTGCACAGGTGACATCCTGTTACTCCAGTGGGTCAGTAGAAAGCCCATCTTTCACAGATTTACAGAACCTAGTTCAAACTATGAACCCATGAAACAAGAATCACTTGTCACTACAGACTAATTTAAGTACAGTGCAGGGGTGGATCTAGAGAAATACGGGTGGCCAGAGGGTGGTATGGAGACTTTAAGGGGTAGCAGAAATATATGCTGATTTCATTACAAACAATCACATATATCATTTTTTGTTTGGAAATTCCCCCAAATGAAGATTTTTTTATTGTGGCACATTGATTGAAATATCTAAAGGTGGCATGAGAAATCAATAAATTGTTTTATTTCCAGAATTGTTTTATTTCCAGATCTTCAGACATTTTTCCAAAGACTTTCATTGAATTTAACCCTATCTGTTGGTCTAAAATATGGCCATAATAGATCATTATATGTGTTAATTTCCATTTTTTTACATATTATTTGTAAAATTTAAAATAATGAATGTGTTAAATTTGACAGCATTTGACACCCAGCTTGCCACCCTGTGCCACCGCTGTAGATCCGCCCCAGGTTCAATGCAGTGAACCTCAATGAAGTGGAAGTCTAAAGCAATGTCTCCAAATGAACTCCTGTAGTATTAGTAGTGAATTTGATCCAAACTTCAATCATTGGGAATGAAACTGAACCTGATTAAAGATGAGTGTGACTGTGATTGTGGACCGCCTGAGGTGATAGCCGGCTGCATTCTCTGTGAGCGCTCAGGCTGCAGGAGTGTGTGTCAGATCACAACAGGTGAGCAGCACTCACAGCCGGAGACGGTGCAACTGTAAATGTCACACACAGCCGGGCTGAAAACTGTACTTCACCTTTTAAAACATTAACATTTTGGGCATTTGGCCATCAGAAGTCCTCTCATCGGCCAAGTTTCAATTAATCAAACCTGGCGAGCTGCAAGAAAACAGAGAGGTCAAAGAAAAGGAAAATTACGAAAAAATCTGAAGTCAGAGAAAACTAGGGGAGCAAAAGAGGAAGGATGTGACTCAGCAGGGAGATTCTGTTCTCTCAACAGATTACGGACTACTACAGTAAATGAGGAGTAGTGCTACTGTAAAGTTCGAAAGGCGAGTGTAGAGTTGACCACAGTGGTGGGTCGTGTCTGGATGCACAAGATGAGCTGGAATGCAGAGCTGGATGCTGCAGGCCTGGAGGTGTGTGGTGTTACTCTGCCTGTGTCCGTTTCACAGAAGTGGGAGGGGGAAAAAAACAGGAAAAAAAAAACGTTTTGCCAAAAGCCATATACCTCTTAAAGAATTCTTGGACATAAAAGCAGGTGTAATGACTGTGAAGGTTGTTAGTTTCT